ATCCCATCCATCCATCCAGCCCATCCATCCATCCATCCATCTAATCCATCCATCCCATCCATCCATCCATCCATCCATCTAATCCATCCATCCCATCCCATCCATCCATCCATCCATCCATCCCATCCATCTAATCCATCCATCCATTCATCCATCCATCCATCCCATCCATCCATTCATCCATCTAATCCATCCATCCATCCATCAATTTCTCCGAAATCTGTGGACTTCAACTCCCAGAATTCCCTAACCCAGCCGGTAAAACCAAGTGCAGCCTTACCCATCCCCGAATCCTTTTTGGTGCCATCCGAGATGATATCCACGTGGTCGCTGTCTACGTCGTAACTGAAAAAATCGTTCAAGTATGTTTTCGACCTTTGTCCGCCGAACATATACAGGCAACGGTTTTTCTAAAAGGGAGGGGGGAGAAGAAAAGATATGCTGAGTTAATTTATGATCACCCTCTTAATTCCGTCCCCCCCAGGTTCTTACAACTCCCCGTAATAAATTAACACACAGGCCAAGATAATAAACTTAAAGCAGTCCCACGGAGGGCTGGTCCTTACCGAATGAAATAACATGCAGTGTCCTATTCTGGATTGGACGTCTTCAGGTCCAGCATTACACGAATCTTCTCGCAAGAGTTTCCATATCCGGCACTGACAGTCAAAAGCAAAGAGGCCGCTGAATTGCGGTTCACTGGCTCGGCTGTCGTCCACACTGCCGTTGCAGGTCAAAATCCTTCCCCCGAAGGTGTAGATCATGTGTTTCTCTGAATCCATGCACATCTGCAAACAAATGGAAGGCATTTTTATTAAAAACTAGAAGATAACCCAGTGTTATTTATTGGGGGGGGGGGGAGAATGTCCGGACTAAATGTAATTTCTAATGTTGGATTTTCCCCCTTACCAGAGGGAGCCCCCTGGTGGAGTACTGTGAAGCCGTTACCACGGCAACTCCACTGCGCTGCAGAAGCCATTTTACGACAGTACGGTTGAAGCCGTTTTAAGGCACAACAGGCTGTATCTTAGCAAAACACACAGCCCGAGGGGTGTTAGGGATGTCTTAACCCCACAGTATTTGTTTCCACAGAGTTAAGTAATCCGTGTTCCAAGTTTGGTTGAAATTGCTCAAGGCGTTCTAGGGTTATGCTGGAACATACAAACAAACACACACACACACACACACACACACACACACAGAGTCATTTATATATAGAAAGAGATGCTATTCTATTCTATTCTATTCATAGGAGGAGGAAGACGACGACAACTGTGGGTTCCTTGGTGGTCTCTGAGCTTGGTTGTTTTGTTGCAGATGTTTCATGACCCAACTAGGTAACCTCATCAGCTATTTTTATATATATAGATGATTATTGGGGAACATGGAACTTGGATATTAAACCAATGGTGAATATTGACCCTTGGAAGGCGGATGAGGATAAAGGTCTCAAGAAGAACCCTTTTGGGCAATGCTTTTGTCCACTCAGTCAAAACATCTGCCTAGAGGCGAGCTAGAAATATCAAAGTGAAGTTCTCCAAGGGTGGAACACACA